ACAAACACCTCGGATACGGAAGATATCAACCTAGATTGAGGATGATGAAGAATAACTAGAACCAAGAAGGCTGTAGACAGGTGTAGCAGTATGTTTCCAGTAGCAAGGTCTGCTAGTTGAATACCAGCTTCTCTAGAGGACCTTATCTGTTTGCTTTTATTTTATAAATAAAAAAAACATTAATAGTAATGAAATGCAAATAATATTCACGAGTGTGATGTAGCCTACACGTAATGATTCATCATGGCGGCTCCCTTTGAACTAGAGCGGAAGAACCCATTCAGAACCTTCCAGAGTACCTAGAGACTCAAAAATTGGTACAGATTTTCGGAAGAACCCGTTTTGCAAGTATACTAAATTTCAGGTTGCTAGCATTAGTGATTAAAAAATTATAAGGGGTGGTACTTGGGCAACTCAACTTGAACCGACTATAACAGCAGCTCATTTTTATGGGCTCCTGATGGTAATCTAATGGAAATACTCTCTCTGCTATTTTTACTATGATTTTAGGGTTCTTTTCTTCTCCTGGTCTTGTCTTTGATAGTTCTGCAATCCCCATGAAAAACTGTTCCCATGATATTGCCATTGTCCTTGCTGCTTTGTTAGCATCAGCATCACTTTTGTTAGCTATTCTATATTCTAGTTCTGTTACAACTTTGAGATCTTTCTCCTCTTTTATTTCTTCACGCATTATTTCCCTACTTCATTTGATCAGTAATCATTACATAATTTTTTACCTTAATTCAACAGAATTATTATCTAACAATTCCTTAATTCTCTCATCTTTTTCATCATCATCATCACAACTCTTCCATTTAAGATAAACTACTTCTCTTATTTCAGCTTCTATGATTGCGTGAACACAATCATTGTCCGGAAAATGTGTCAAGTATATTGTACATCCTTTAATGCTCTCTCTTGTCTTGTTAAGGATAGCATTCACTGCTGCATGAACAACTAGAAATTGTTAAAATTAATATTGCATTGCTTAATTTTAATACTTACCATAGGCATGCTTTAGTGTAGGATCTGTTTTTGTAGAGCCTTCAGTTGTAAAGCGTTCAGATGTAGAATCTTCAGTTGTAGAGCTTTCAGGTGTAGAGCTTTTAGATGTAGAGCTTTTAGATGTATGCCT